AAACCAATCTGAGTGAGACCGTGAGAAACCTGAACCAAGTGTTTATTTAGAAATCATCTTTGGGAAAAATATATTTTTACCCCAAACTATTTAAAATCACCTTTTTAGACTATGGTTCATGAAGCTTGGTGAACCACATCCCTCCAACACCTTTCTCTGATTCATTTTATTAGCTAAGCAATTTACCATTTTGCCATCCACCAATCATTGGGTATCATCCTAGGGTTTTGCACCCTATAAAACCCACCTTATTCCCTCATTGATTCCCTGATCTCTTTCTTTGCCTCACTAAAGTTTTGTCTGCCAAGTAGAAAGAAGAACAATAGTAAGTTTCATCTCCTTCTCTATTCAATCATAGTCTTCCATTTCTCGTCTAGCTTTCATCCATTCTCTGAGGTTCTAGCCTTAAGCTTTGTATGGTTTATTTGGGGAGTTTAGGTGGTGAAGGATGTGCTAGCTAAGTTGGGAGGAAGAATAGGTCCAAGCAAGAAGAAGAAGTCTACAAAGGTATAACCCCATGGATTCTCACATTTAGTTTTGGCTCTGTGAAGCCTTATTCTTAGGTAGAAATGAGTAGAAATCTAGGTTTTTGTATTTGTGTTTGAGCTATGAAATGATCTATTACTTGTCTATGATATGTTGATAATGTTTTGGATGAGTTGGAATTGTCTGATCTTGAGTTGCAGATGAAGTAACGGCCCTAGCCAACGGCCCATCAAGGGGACCGTTGGCTAGAGCCGTTGCCGGCCGGGCCTAGGGCATGGCCCTAGGAGAAGGCCGTTGCCTAGGCCCGGCAATGTAGCGGCTTGAGGGGGTGGGCCATGATGAGCCCCGCCCCATGGTCCCTGAGTGATCTCTATGCAGTGGCCGGGCCCTTGTGGCTCAGCTACGTGTCGTTTCGGACCAGGTGTTACGGGCTCTTGTGGCTCGGTACCTCGGGACCGTCTTGACGCACGTTTTGGCTTTGATATCATTGAATTTGAATTAGAAATGAGCATGTTATGATGAAATTAGTGATGAAATTGCTTCACAGTATGTTTGCTTGAGTTCACTGTATTAGGAATTGCTTTGTTTTGTTCCCCTAATGTTATTTGTGTAATGAATAGAGAAGCATGATCACTTTGAGAATAGGAATTATTAGAAAAGCATGACTAGAATGTGTTGTTTGATCAATGGATTTTGGAGTCTATTTTGATGATAGAAATATATAGAGTGTGATATGTTGCAATACAAGCATGTTGTTGTGTTCTCTAAAGTTTACTGTTATATTTAATTTGAAGCATGTTGTATATTAAATTGCATTCCAAGTAGACCATGTTTTAAAAATGCATAAGTGGCCAACGTGAGCCCAAGTATTATTTTCCAAAAATCTCATTCCACGTAGAGCATCTTTATCTTGTCTTTGAGAATGAATTGAAAAATATGTGCATGTCTTTTGCATAAGTTAAGTGTTGCATATATGAGATACATGAGCGATATATATATATATATATATATATATATATATATATATATATATATATATATATATATATATATATATATATATATATATATATATATATATATATATATATATATATATATATATATATATATATATCAGTGAGGTTTTGGAGGACCCGTTTGGACTATGTCCTCTCGGATGAATGTTATGGACATTGCGGTCCCAGTACATGTAACTCGGTGTATTCCCACGTTACGAGGTTGGAAACTGCCCGCCAGGTTTGGAATCCTGGTCAGGGGGTGTGCACGCTAAAAGTTCGATACTTGATTCCACAGAGTTACAGCATAGAACCAAGAGAGTGGTTCGGTGAAGTTCCTACCTCGTCCATCTGCAAAGAAAGCGAGTCATTGCAACTCTAATAAAAGAAAGAAAGAAAGAAAGAAAGCGAGTCATTGCGACTCTAAGAAAAGAAAGAAAGCAAGCGAGTCCTTGTGGCTCTAAGAAACATCCACAGAAAAGTATTATATTTTACAAGCGAGTGTATGACTATACTTATAGTTTGCACGTGATTGCATAATGAGAATGTTTGCACGAGATTGCATTTGAGTATAGTATTGCACTAGATTGCATATGAGAATGATTAACCGAGATTGTATGTTGAGCATGATTGCTTTAGTTGCCTTTTGATACCTTATATATCTAGTTTGCTAGATGTGATCTTGAAAGCATGATGATAATTTCGTATTGGTTGTTAGTATGAAATTGATTGATAGTATGAGTTCGTTATGAAGAGTTTTGTTATGAGAAATATGTGTTGGAATATTCATGTTGATGAGTTATTTATTTTTGAAGCATGCCTGTTGATATTATAGGTTGCAAGCATATAGAAAGTCTGTGATGTATCTACAGTTGTCTATGTGATGAGATTGTTGATGTGACCAAATATTTTTCCAAAGTATATTCTATAGTACTTTACAGGGTTGAGTGTGGTTATACTTAGCTTCGTGCTAACGGGTGTTTTCCTACTTGTCTATGTGTTGTTTTGCAAAACCCCTTTCAGGTGGGCCCAGCGATTGAGAGATGATCGAGTTAGGCTAGCTTAGTAGATCTAGTAGTCTAAACTCTTAGTACTTTTATCATGATGTTTATTTTGACGGATTTGTAGACTTATGTTTGATGATGAAGTTTGATGATTAGACATCGGGGTGTTTTTTTTTTTTTTTTTCCCTTATGACTTTTGACTAAGTAATATGAATGTTAGTTACTTTTATTATTCTAGTTCCATCCTTAGCCTGCGTAATCACCATGGAGTGGTGGTTGTGGCGGTGACATTTCCACTAGTTTACTTATTAAGTTGTTTATCCACTGCTTAGTTTATATTAATTGTGGTTCTAGAATTGTAATTAAGATTAAGAAAAGTGGGGTGTTACAAATACATTTCGGATCGGGTCACACATTAAATGAGACAGTAGATACGCACGAGCATGGGAAAGGGTCACCGGACGAAGGCGTTATGGACAGCCAGTTGGAATCGAGTGTCGTGGTCGCTTAGCTCGATTGGAGTTGGGGTATAAGTGAAGGTCGTCGGTCAACAGGAGTAGGAACCGAACATGATTCCTTTGAGGCATTCCCGGACGATCGGAAACTTAAGGGTTCCGGCCTCGAAGCTAACCGGGAGTAAGGCACAGCCGCTCGGGACGCCTAGACAAATGTTTCAAGCCTTCTCTCGGCTCACTTGGTAGCTGGTCGAGGTACGGGCGAGAGGGATCATCGAAGATAAGAGTAGCCGAGCGGTCGGAGGAGTAGCTGGGCGGTCGGAGGAGTAGCCGAGCGGTCGGAGGAGTAGCCGAGCAGTCGGATGAGTAGTTGAGCAGTCGGAAGAGTAACCGACCAGTCGGAGGAGTAGCTGAGCAGTCGGGGGCGGAGGCCCGACTGGAGGGGCAAAAGTGAAGAGTTGTCTGAAAGGCAGGCCAAGTGACATGAGTAGCGACTAGTTAGAATGGTCGTCCGAGGGGTAGAGTGGTCGATTCCCGGGGAAACTCAGACTAGTACCCGAAGTATGGCAGTGACCTCAAGCGATCCAATTGGCGAATTTCGTGGGATGCGACGAGCAATAAGGAAAGGAGATCAACCAAAGTTAGGAAAGGGAATCAACAATAATAGAAAATGAGATCAAATGTATTTATGGAAATGTGAACGTACTTAGATTAGACCCTAGAATTCTAGTATAAATACACCATTTTGAACCTTGAAAAAGGGGTTAAGCTCTTCACAAATACACAAGAACACACAACATTTATTTTCCGGCCATATCATTTATTTTTTCGGTGGTGTTGGCCCACCGTTTAACTGCCCCGATAGTCAATAAAAACCAACATGGGATTTTTTCGGTGGTGTTGGCCCACCGTTTAACATGGGCTTTAATTAATTAACTTAATCAACCCAATATCCAAGTGACAAATTTTTTTGTGGACCATGGTGCAGTGTGGTACATGAGGTAAGGATTTTTTTTTTTTTTGAATGCTACTGCCTCGATTACATTGTAGTATCTGTTCAAACATACTTTCTCAACCTAATGAAGCACACAGAGTCAACAACATGACCTCCCACATGGGAGAGGTCACTACATGTCATCTGAGCACAAGGTGCTTGGCAAGTAAGGATTATTTAATTATACTTCAGTTTCATTTGACAATATTGCTCTGTTTTTCAGTTTCATTTTCCACACACACTAGTTTCATTATAACAATACCAAAGTATCATTTTAATTATACTACATTTTCATTTGACAAAATACATTATTGCATGAGCTCTATTATGTAGTTTCATTTTCCACACACACTAGTTTAATTATAGTAATATTAAAATACTATTTTAATTACACTCTAGGTTCATTAGACAATATACGTTGTTGAATGAGCTCTGTTTTTTAGTTTCATTTTCCACACACACTAGTTTCATTATAATAACACTGAAGCATCATTTTTTTTTGAAGTTTTATTTGACGATCATGGTTCATCTAGCACTGTGGATTATGGTACACAGTATAACAACTGTATCCGCCAGTTAAATTAATTAATTACTGTAAGTTTTTTTTTTTTTTTTTTTTTTTTTTTTTTTTTTTTTTTAAAGCTGGTAGTTTCAGTTAAGTCAATTGAAATACAAATTAACCCAATCAATTAAATTGAATCTCTTGCTACCGTGAGCAAAAGTAAAATCTGCCACTTACTCCATCTCTTAAATTGTGTATAATCAAAACATAAAACATTTTTGGGAGAAAAATGGTACATGTTTTATCTACTTTTTTAATTAAAGTTATGAAATATATTGATCTTACGGTTGGAAATAAATGACTTTAAAAACTCTAGATTGGGATAAATACGAACTGGATGGCCAGAAAACCCACCGCCCACCAGCTTCCAAACCTGGAAACTTCGCTATCCTATATTCAACGGCTCCACTTTGAAACACATAAATTAAGAAACAATTACTAGCAATATAATAATAAATTAGTAATATAATAACAAAACTTAACGTTGTTACTTCTACGCGTAATCTCACGCCTGTTCTAGAATGATGCTAAGGTTTCTATTCAATTCTCACCAGATTTCTTTTCTGGCACAACATTCATCTCTAAGAAACCATATCTTAATTGAATCCTATAAATTGCAGTTTACCCGATCTCTATCTCTATCTCACCACTTCTTTACTAAAGTATATTCTTGCCAATTGCCTTTCCCTTCCCTTCCCTTCCCTTCATTCCAATTCAGAAAGATATATATTCCCGTAAGTCCCCAAATAATGGCAGGCACCCCAGCAGAGCCAAAAGGAGAAGAATCAGAATCCCATAAACCCTTATCTTCTTCTTCTTCTGAATCCCAAGCACCAGAAATGGACCCTCAGAAATGGGGAACTCATGTGATGGGTCGTCCTGCAGTCCCCACCACCCACCCAGATAACCAGAAGGCTGCCTTGTGGAGGGCCGAGGATCAGAACCCCCAACCTTACGTCGTCTATTCTCCCGTGGATCGCCCCCCCAGCAACAACCCCTTTGAATCAGTGTGCCATATGTTCAATTCTTGGAGCCATAGAGCTGAGACCGTAGCTCGTAACGTATGGCACAACTGTAAGTACCCTACCTCCTCAATCACTCTCTATTTTTGAAAAAATTCCTAAATATTACGAATATATGGAGTTCCTCTTAGCCATCCAGGGCTAAATTAGGCCTTTCACCTATCTTTGCCCATTGCATCCTATGTATACTATCTAGTTTTTCTCCTTGGGAGTTGACTTATGTTAATTTTGTGCAGTGAAAACTGCGCCATCCGTATCAGAAGCTGCTTGGGGAAAGCTGAACATGACTGCCAAGGCAATAACAGAAGGTGGATTTGAGGCATTTTACAAGCAAATCTTTGCAACCGATCCTTATGAGAAGCTAAAGAAGACGTATGCTTGTTACCTTTCCACAACAACCGGCCCTGTTGCCGGGACCCTCTATTTGTCAACCACCAAGGTTGCTTTCTGCAGTGATCGCCCTTTGACCTTCACAGCTCCTTCTGGCCAGGAGGCTTGGAGCTACTACAAGGTATGTAACCACTTTTAACTTCTGTCCATTACTATTGTGTTTTGATCAATCGCCTACCACTACGTTAAAATTAAGTTCAAGAGCTAAGGTATTTTTTGTTAGAATAGTCTTGTCTCGTCAGGGATATCCCTTTCCACCCCGGCCTGGCCCTGTTAGGGGGCACCACGTGCCCGCCATGCCGAGGGTCCGGAACATGCCTCCTCTCCATTCTTATAAATATCTCATTTATTACTGAGACTCTGAGAGGTAGACTTTTCACCTACTTCACAACCAGTACTATTAGCCCGGGGTTATCGACCACTATCGAGAGTCCCAAGCTCGAGTACTTAAACCAACCAGCAGACTAGGAGAGAGATTCGAACTGACATCGTTCCTAGTATTGTATTTGTAGTCATACCGACTGTATATACTACATTAGCCGACTCGATTTACTAGCCTTTGTCTAATTCACTCCCTTAGCACCAGCCAATCTTATTCAAACCGGCCAGTGACCTGACTCGATTCCACTTGTTGGGATGAGCCCTTATTACTACACTATTATATAGCTAGTAGCGAATGTGCAATTTTAACACACATTTTTTAAAATGAGAATGTTAGACCTGGTCTTTACCGACTTTTGTCTAACAATTTTCTAAGTGCATGGTGGTAGATTTGGCTCTTACCTGTCTCTGCCCAATATTGTGCATTTAGAAACAATTCAAGTTGGTTGCTAACATTAATATTACTTACTTTGTGTGACTTTGACAGGTTGCAGTACCTTTGGCAAATATAGCAGCAGTGAATCCGGTGGTGATGAGAGAGAATCCACAAGAGAAGTACATTCAGATAGTGACAGTTGATGGGCATGACTTCTGGTTCATGGGGTTTGTGAATTATGAGAAAGCAACCCATAATCTCCTAGACGGCTTGTCAAATTTTAGAGCATATGGAAATAATAATAATGCAGCAGGGCAGTCTGTGAGTGGATATGGGAATGTGTCACAACCTGCTAACTAGCAATAAATTAAAGTAGTACTTCACTATTCAACTCCTCCTACCAGAGTTGTCTTTCCTTATACACTGCTATTGTATTATTACTTTTTGTGTGCTTAATTGCTTGTGTATTCATGTATATTGTTAGTAGTTGTTGTTGAATGCATTATAGATTTTTCCCCTCAGGGTATCAATGATCAGGTTGTAGGCAATCTTTGTAGAGAATTTTCAATATAAACTAAGGGTGTGTGGTTCATGAGTTTACACATTAAGAATAAGAATTAAAATCATAGTTAGTGTTTGATTGACTATTTTTTATAACACAATTATGAGATTTGATTACACCTTTAATTAAAAATTTCATTCTTTAATTTAAAAGGCATATCATTCTATCTTATTGGTAATTTTATTTTTAAGTTTGGATTAATGTTTTTAGATTTTTGTTTTGATTTTTTTTTTTGTTTTATTTGTTTTGTTTTTTTTTTTGGATGTCAAGATCAATTATTTTAATTTTTTATTTGTATTTTTAGTGATAAGAATATAGCGGAATAATGCGAAGAATAAAAAATTAATAATTATAAAAGTTAAATAACAGAAATAGGAAAAATATATAAATGACAAATTATGAAATTGATGAATTGAAAAAATATAAAATATATATATTAATCTCAAAAAGAGTAAAAGAATATATATATATTATATATATATATATATCTACGTGAGGAAATAAAAGAAAGAAAAGAAAGCAAAATGAATTGCTTAGGAATAATTACAATTGATGAATGATACATTGAAAACAATAAAAACTAAAACTATTTATACATGCAAGAATAGAGATAAATGTGGCATGTACATTGAGGAAGGGAAAACGTGGCTGCGGATTGAGGAGAGGAACGTGTGCGACATGTTGTTGAGGAATCTCCACAAATTTGAGCCATAAAAGATATTAAATTTGAACAATTTTCACCTTAGATCAAATCCAATGTGGAAATTAACAACTGGAATAGACGATTAAACACAAGCGCTGCTTGAATTTAGCAATAGGAGTAATAACCTCATAATAGTATGATGGATCACCATCAACTTTCTATACGACTGAAAGAGCAAAAGCAATCAAGTTGGTTTCATCATCACTAGCATACCTAGCAGGTTTTTTAATCGTCCTCCTAGGACGATCTATAGCAATAGAATACTCTCGTTGTGGCTCGACGAGAGGTGCGGTGCTAGTAGATTCATCATCTTTAATATTGCCATCAATGGCAGTAATACTATTAATACGCCTGAACTCAAACTCCACCTTCTCACCAGTATTCTGTGTCTCACCTGTACTGGGAATTTTTCCAGAATAAAATAGTGCATTTTCGTCAAAAGTGATATCTCGACTCAGAATGATTTTCTGAGAATCAGGAGACCATAGACGATACCATTTTGACTTAGAGGCATAACCAACGAAAATGCATTTGACAGCTATCGGGTTAATTTACTCGTACTGGAATGAACATATGCAGGACATCCAAAAACTCTTAAGATAGAGTAGTCAACAGGATTACCTAACAAAACTTCCTCTGGAATTTTGAAATCAAGGGATGAGTGTGGAGATCTATTTACCAAATAAGATGCAGTAGAAACGGCCTCGGCGCAAAAATCACTTCATTTCCATAACCCAGCATTAGAGAGCATACAACGAGCTCTTTCCAATAGAGTCTTGTTCATACGTTCGGCAACACCATTCTGCTGGGGTTTACCAGGCAAGGTCTTGTGCCTGGCGATTCCATTTGCCGCACAGAAGTCATTGAAATCTGACACACAAACTCCAAGCTATTGTCTGTCTTGAGCTTCTTGACTTTTTTCCCTATCTGAGTCTCAACAAGTATTTGCCACGTTTTGAAAATAGAAAATGCATGACTTTTTTTTTGTTTCAGGAAATAGACTCAGACCTTGCGAGAAAAGTCATCAATAATAGACATAAAATATCTACAATCTCACATAGACTGGAATTTAGTCGGTCCCCATAAATAGGAATGTATATATTCCAATACATCTTTGGTACGTCGTGTAGCAGTAGATAAACTAACCCTCCTTTGTTTCCAAAAACACAATGCTCACAAAATTGTAATTTACCCATACCTGAACCACCAAGGAGGCCTTTCTTGCTCAGGAGATGCATGCATTTCTCACTCATATGCCCTAGATGCATATGCCATAATTGAGTAAGATCGCATCAGACACCGATGAGGATACCTCTACTGAACTTGTCACAGTACTGCCACGCAAGACGTACAAGCTTCCAGAATGAGAAGTTTTCATGAGAACAAGAGTGTGACAACCCAAAATATTTTCCCTAAATTCCTTCTTTATAAAGTTTTGAAATAAAATTATTTTATTTCTACGATGATTAATTTCCTAAAATTTTGAGCCAACAGTCTATTCGATACGAACTCGTAATTATTCTTATTAGCTTTCTATCCTAAGTGATTTAATCCTTGAGCTCAACTGTGTTTAATCCAATAGTTATGCCGTGCAACCGAATGTACCATGCGCATGGTGCATACGATGCAAAACGACGTTGTTTTGACTAAAAACGCGCGTCCCACTTTAAAAAAGCAAATTCAGGTTCGATTCTCGGCAATAGCATTATTGTGGATATATAGTTATGAATTTCTGAATATATAGTTATAAATTTGTGGATATATAGTTATGAATTTATGGATATTTAGTTCATTCATAGTGGATATTTAGTTCATTCATTGTAGATATTTACTTCATTCATTCACTGTGGATATATAGTTATGAATTTATGGATATATAGTTATGAATTTCTGGATATATAGTTATGAATTTATGGATATTTCGTTCATTCATTGTGGATATTTAGTTCAATCATTGTGGATATTTAGTTCATTCATTGTGGATTTTTACTTCATTCATTCATTCATTGTGGATTTTTACTTCATTCATTCACTGTGGATATATAGTTATGAATTTGTGGATATATAGTTATGAATTTCTGGATATATAAAAATGCTATTGCCGGAAATCGAACCTGATTTCTTTTTTAAGTGGGACGCGCATTTTTTAAACCAAAACGGCGCCGTTTTGCAGCCGTATGCACCTTGCAAGGTGCATTCGGTTGCACAGCATAATTTGCGTGTTTAATCTAATTCAAATGTATTTTTTCAGCCCAAATGATTTGATTGAACTCAAATTCATCTCAAGCCCAACCCATTTATAATAGTAACCCTATCTACATTTATATCTATTTATAATATGTTTATATATATATATATATATATATATATATATATATATATATATATATATATATATATATATATATATTTGTTTGTTTTTCCCCTTCAAATTTGACAACCAAACAACCCCTGTAGCCTCTTTGTCTCTCTCGTCTCACTCTCTGTAAGAGAACAAAACCAAACAACACCATCAACCCCATTTTTTCCGTTTCTTTCTCTCTCTTCCCCTCACCTCCCTCTCGTTTTCCCGTGACAAGGCAGACCAAGAACCCGGCAGCTGTAGTGAACGGCAGTGGTGGTAGCTCACTCCATGTACATCGTCCGGCGACCTTTCTCGACGAGCTGCAGATCGGGCAAGTGAGCGGCGACCTTCTCTCCGGCGAAGCAGGTAGCGAGATCAGGCGACCTCCTAGTGGTGTAGATCGACGGCAGCAACAGCATGCCAATGGAGCACCAGCAGCCTCCCCTCTCCTCTGTTTTTCCAGCGAGCTTGCAGCAGAGTGGAAGGTGGACAGCGTTAACCATTTTCCGACGACGTATAGCTCCGGCAACGACGACTCCCCGGCGACAGTAGCGGCTCCGGCGAAGGCGGTTGGACCTCCTCCCCGGCAGTGAAGTTTTTGGAGGATGAAGCTTACGTGATGATTGAGTGTTGTTGTTTGATGAAGAAGCTTACGGGGATAGGGGAAGCGTTGGAGGAAGATCGTAAGATACGTGGTTATTATTAAGCTTAACAGTAGCCTGTAGCCTGTTGGATAATAGAGATTAAGATAGTACTTTTGTTATCAAAGCATAAGGTAGTGTGGTGGTTAAAGCAATGGTTTGGTATATGGTGTACATTGGTTCAATTCTTATTGTCAGTATATAATTTTATGGATTAATGATGCTTAAGTGTTATGGATTAGTAATAGTAGTTATAAAATAAAAGGTTAATGTGGTGGATGTTAGAAAAAATGGAGTGTTTGATGATAGGGAAGTGAGGATTTTCCTCTCCCTCGTATGGGATACAAGAAGATGATGAACTTCTTAAGGGGAAGTTGCTTAAAATGCAGTTCTGTGAAATATCTCAGTGTATATTTTCAGACATTTCTTCTAAGTATATATAGATGCAAAATATATCTGTTTGGAGAAGTTACATGGAAGTTGCTGTAATTTAAAACTCAACTTTCATAAGATAAGATATATCCTGAATGATATATCTATCACCGGAGAAATTATTAAATTTATTTTGAGTCAGTAACTGTATGCAAAATTATATATATATATATATATATATATATATATATATATATATATATATATATATATATATATATATATTCCTTACGCATGAAATCATGCAAAGGATAAATATAAATAATATACATAAATGTAGTTCAATAATCTCAAGCATATAGCTAAATATACCAAGCATGTTAAGTGTAACTTTGAAGCATATAGCTTCAAAATGCATAAATAGAAGAGCATATTCCAAGCATGTTAAGTGTAGTTTTGAAGCATATAACTTCAAAATGCCCCAAAACCTTACGCATTAAAATATCCAAACATGCATTAATACTCTCAAGCATATAGCTATATATCTCAAGCATATAGCTATGTATCTCAAGCATATAGATATATAAAACTCAAGCATATAGCTATATATTCCAAGCATATAGCTATATATCACAAGCATATAGCTATATATCTCAAGCATATATCCGTATAAATTTCTCCCAGTATTTTAATTAACTTTCTACCAAATTAAAATAATATTTACAACTCCACAACTCCAAATATTATTTAAGCTTTCATGGTAGTTCATCTGAAACATTAATCTCCATTACTATATAAATTTTCAACATTCCTCCTCCATTTATATAGTAAAAATTAATACTGTACCAAGATCAATCCAAAACTCATGCATAAATGAAAGTGTCTTAGAGATTGAACTTTCACGTAGTATTATATTCGGTACATAAATTCAGATTGTAGTGGTGGACGAACCTTGAATCACGCAGTCT